CATAAGGATGTGTTTTGTGACTATTCATTTTGGATGCAAAAAAATGGAAATATTAAATAAATTAAAGCGAAGCCCTAAGTCATAAACCTTAAGACATATATAACTCCAAAGCCCCAAGTCATACATGACAAGTTATGAGCTTGTGGGAATAAGTGTACAAGTATTTGTGTGTAGGGGTATGGGTGTAGGTATATAGGTAATGGTATGTGTATAGTCATGATACAAAAGTCTTAAGCCCTTAGTCTTTAACATTAAGTTCTAAGTCATAAGAAATAATTCGTACACCAAAAGTCATATGCCTTAAACCCTAAGCCTTGGTCCATAATCCATAAACCATTACATATAAGCCATAAGCCATAAACCATAAGCAATATGACCTAAACCCTAACTTATTAGCGATACTCCTTAAGCCATAGACCATAAGCATTGATCCCAAAGCCATACACCATAAGACATGAGCCTCGAGCCCTAGACCCTGAGCCTTAAGCCATGAGCCATGAGCCATATGGCCTAAGTCATAAGCCATAAGTCATAAGTCATAAGTTATAATCCATAAGCCATAATACATAATCAATAATTCATACACCTCACGTCGTAAACCCTAAGCATAATCCCTAAGACATAAGACTTAATACATAAGCCTTAAATCATAATACTTAAGCCATAAGCTATAAAACATAAGCCTTAATCAACTAAGCCCCAAGCCTAAAACCCTAAGGCATAAGCCTTAAGCATTAAGTCATAAGCCATAAAACAGAAGCCTTAAGCATTAAACCATGATCTATAAGCCATAAGTCTTTAAACACTATAAGCATAAGCATTTATCCTTAAGCCCTAAGACCTAAGTCATAAGTTATAAGCCATAATCCCTAAGGCATAAGCCCTAAACCTTATCTCCTAAGCCATAAGCCTTATGCCCTAAGCCATACATCAGAAGCCATAAACCATAAGTTATAACCAATAGGACTTAAGCCACATAATAAGCCATAAGACCTAGGCCACAGTTCATAATTAATAACCCTTAATACAAAGCCTTAAGCTATAAGCCATAAGTCATAAGCACTAAGCCAGAAGTCCCAATTCATATGTTATTATCCAAAAGTTACAATCCATAATACACGAAACCTAACCCAATTTTATAATCAGTATGTCCTAAGTCTTAATCTATGATCTATAAGCCATAATCTATACGACCTAAGTCCTATGTTATAATCTATAAGTCATAAGTCATTTACAACCATGTTTATAACATGCTAAGACTTTTTTCTAGTTGTTGTGGTATGTCACTGGCTTAACTCCGTCTATCCAAGGGTAGGAATGAAGAGCCTGTGAATCACAACAAGGAAGATGAAACCATCAGTCGTCATCCAGGAGGTGATCCCGGAACGAGGCTCCGACGATCAAGTCAGTGGGGATCTTAGAGAGAAGTGGTTAAAAGCGTAAAGAGAGTGTTGAAGGGTTAGAGATCTTGACCCATTCTCTTGGGGGAGAATTGTGCCTTTTATACCTGTGGATAGGGGGAACAGATCCCCGACAGTATCTTCTACCTTTTCAGGTTTGGCAGGGGCTGATGATCTTTGATTGGAGTATCGTGTTTCATGAGTGGTTGTTCGTTATTGGTGCAGACTCTGCCAGAAGCAGCGTCCTGAGCACTACATCTGTCACTATAGGGAATTCTTAGTACTGATTTGTCTTCAATGTTAGCTATTAGTGCAGACTCTTCCAGAAGCGGCGGATTATGGCTTTCGTGTGGACCGGAAGGGAAGGTCAGGGTCCCTATTCTGATCTTCGAGGCCGGTCTGAGGCTACCAATGACAGATTTATTTGACGAGATAATTCATTCATATGGCTTTTGTGTGGACGATCTGACTCCAAACTTCATCAATAAGATCGACGGCTTTGAACTCGTATGTCAGGCCCTTTGAGTTATGCCACAGTTTTGGGCCTTCAAAGCCTTCTTCAACTCTTCTACACAACCCGTTGTTCGGACCATTTCCCAAAGGCAGGGGGTTCATGCCTTCATCATCAATAAAAAATCTCCGAAGAAGAATTAGCAGGATCGTTGGCTCAGGGTGAATCGCAATCTTGTGGGTTTTGGTTATCCTTACTTGACCACTTATTCTAATCGAGCACCGAAACTATTTGGGGCCAGCGCCACTGTGGCACAAGCACTAAAGACCATTTGTGTTAACAGCGAGGATTGGGAGGACCAAGTGCTTGCTGTAGTTGGGATGAGTTTTGCCTGGAGGGCCTGAGGTATGATGCCCCTGTTCTACTTCGAGAAAGACGGTAATCACTTCTCCTCCCCCTTGATATACTCTCGCTTATGTGTTGTGTGAACTGTGTTTGGATTTTTCCCCGCTTGCAGGTCATGGAGGATTCTTCCATTTGAGATAGTATTGGGGAGCCATTTTCAGGGCACCCTTCAGCACCGGGGGGTGCCCTTGGTCGAGATGCTTCCTCCGCCAGTTAGTCTTGAGCGTGCCATGGCTCTTGACGGTCCTTCAGTCGTTCCTCTGTCTGGGTCTGGTTCTCCTGTTGGCCAGGTGCTGTTTGATGCACCTGATGGCGGTGTTTCTCGTGAAGACCCACGCCTTCTGATACTGAGGGGGAGGAGCTGTCACTTGGGTTAATCCAGCGTAGGACTCGCGCGACCTCTAAGCGGCGGCTTTCCTGGCTGGATTTTCCACGGGTGGAGCCTACCGAGGATGGCTCTTCGGGACAACGCCTTATGAAGAGGCGGAACGTGGACTTCTTGGGGGAAGACACGGTAGTTGTGGATATCCCCAATGATGACACTCTGAAACGGTCGGAGGGGATGAAAGAAGGGGCAACAGAACCGCCTCGTGAACCCAAGGAAGAACCGATGGATACTACTGTTGAAAGCGCTTTTGATGTTGACCAGGAATCCAGTCATGAAGGTGCTCCCAGCTCACCTGTTTTGCTTTTGGCTAGGGGAGACCCTGCTGAAGGCTCTGTTCCTGTTCCTCTGGCGGCGCCAGCCGTATATGTGCCCGGGTGGGCGATAACTCGGGAGTCTCTCCTTTCCCAACATACGGTGGCATACGATTGGGGTCGTCATGCTTTTCCCCCTGCCACTATCGAGGCCTTGGAGCTTCTCTTGAATTCTCGTCTTTCTAATAGCCTCTTATATGAGGCTGCCCAGGTTGATTCATATATGGTTGCGACTACATTTCGCCTTCGTCAGGATTGAGCGGGATGAGTTGAGGGCCAAGCTGTTGGCATTTGAAGGGGAGAAGCATTCGTTCGAGGAGCGCTATGATCTCCTGGCGGGGGAGAAGGCATCTCTGGAGGATAAGGTTACTGCTTTGTACGGGTCAGTGGAGCGTTTCTCCCAGCGTATCGAGGTGTTGGTGGAAGAGAAGATGACATTTGAGGATCAAGTGGATCATGCTAACAAGCAGTTGGGGGAAGAGGTGGCGAAGAGGAAGAGCGTAGAGGATGATCTGGGGTGGCTGCTTTAGAAAGGAATTATTCGTGTGGTGGACAAGGTGGTTGAAAATTCTGAGTTTGCGATGGGAGTGAAGCAGGTGAAGACGGTGTGCATGGCCGCCGTTGTGGAGAATGGCAAGCAGGAGGTCCGGGAACAGGTCATTGTTGGGAAGTTTGTCCCTGGGGAGGCAGTTGGTACCTCGGAGTATATTCAAGAAATACACGCTGCTGTGAAAGCGTTTATGGAGACGGACTATGCCTCCTACCTCCGCCTGGGCGAGCTCGAAATGGTAGGCCTTCGGCAGTTGTGTGTTGACTCTGACGCTGAGGATAGTCAGGTCGAAGGTAGCTCTTCTCATGTTGGTGCTTCCCCTAGTAAGTGATGGCTTTTATTTCCTCTTTAAATATTTCAGAACAATGTTTATGTTTGTTTGGTACTTAAACAATGTTTCACTGCTTTTCTTTGGCCCTGCGTAGTCTTTGTGAAAATCTCGGGGGGTTGTCCGGGTAGACAATTTATCTTGTGTATGTTAAATTCTCCTTCTTTTGGTCTGTTACACTATCGTTTTGTGCTTTCCTTGTGTTTGGTTGTTTATGTTGGCTTGAATTCTTCCCAGAGGCTAGTGTCGCCCTTTTGAGGGTGGTTGTTATTTGTTTTGACAAGTTTTGGTGATCCAGAGCATCTGGGCCTGTTGTTTGTCCTTTGGCCCGGCCTCGTAGTGTGAGGCTTTGGCTGGCTTTTAGGTGCAGGCCCTATCTGGCCTACTTCGTTGGAATGTCCATTTGTTAACTAAAGGGATTTGTTTTGGCGTCTTATTCTATGCCCCGGGCCAAGGAGAGTTTCACTCTGGCCCTTGTTATCTGAACCAGACTGAGATTGTTACCTCGAAGTCTGGGAGTTTATATGTTTCGAGGGAAAGGTTATCATCCTGTAAAGCCTCTTGTTTGTCATGGTCAGGAGTTGCGGCTCTACTGACCTTGTTGACATGCTTGTTAGGGGGAAATTAGGAACCCTTGAGGCTTACAACTGTGTCTTCCCCCATGATTTTATTGTTATGCGGCACGGGTGATTAGCCCAGTTTTGTTTGTCGTTTGCACGAAAGTATATTGATACTTGTTCGTTCTAAATTTTCATTCAATATATATTTTGTATGATGTCTTGGAGACACTTACATCATTTAGGTGGGTATCAGTTTTTCGATAGTTGATGCTATTCTACTTCTAGATCTTGTACTGGCTAGTTGGGGTGTGATTATCTAGTGGGAGTTTTATCACATAGTCCCTTCTCCTAATTCCTTCTGAGCTAGGACCATTGGCTTGGGTCCTGGGGCTCCCAGGTCATTGGGATGAGTTCTTCTTCTTCTTGGTTCTTTTTGCTCTGTGCCTTTCCTGTGCTCACAAGTTCTCTAATGTTTTCATTCACGTGACTGGCTGTTTCTGGGACAATCATCCTTCGGAAGACGATTTTCAATCTCTTCCATTCTCTAGTGTCGGTTGCTTGGTCAGTATCTTTAGGAGGTTTCATGTCATCTGGTGTTGCGTTGCTGCTATTGATTCTGTTTTTCGTGGGGTTTTGGACCAGGTGTCATCCTGGGTGAAAGCTTCTGCCAATTGCGGGCTCTTTCTGTTGCTGGCAGCCTCCTGTCTGTATCTTCTTTTGTCGGGTAGTTCCCTGTCTTTCCCTCCCTGGCTTTCGCGGTTTCTTGGTTTTGTTTTCTATCAGGCTTCCTCTTCGTACCTTGTGTCTTCACTTCGCGAAGCTGCGTGGGCATGCCTAGTGGTATCCAGCCGTTCTTGGTGTTCATACTAACAATATACAATGTATCTGGCGTGGTAATACTATTACTATCGCACCCTTCCCCCGGGATACATGCCCGGGGCTTGCGCTCGTTCTTCTTATCGGTTGTGTGGGCATCTTTCCTGTCATCTTTGACCATTTTGGGCGAGATTATCTTGGTCCGACTTCTTTTTGGGATGCACGCGGTGGCCCACGTGGCGATTTCCCGGATTGGCCTTGCTCGTGTGTTAATGGCTGCGACCGTTGCTAATCCTTTGGTTGTTCTGAACTTGACCATGCCATGTACTGTCGATGGGATAGCCTATAATTGAAAAAGAGTCAGGCGCCCAAGGATTATATCATTATCGGATCTTTTCTTGACTATCGAGAACTCGATTATCCTAGTTACTTGTTCCTTCCCATCGACACTGACTACAGTCAATGGTAGGTTTATGGTGTCGAGTGGCCACAGCTTGTGTACCGTGAAGCCAACAAGTGGTGCCTAGGCTGGGGGTTTCAGGTTCCTTCTCTAATATGGCGGGATTTGATTGAAACAATGTTCGTAAAGGATGTCGATGTTGCTACCTCCGCCGACTAAGGCTCGCCAGGTCTTCCGCTATATGACCGTGACGGGGATTATGATTGGATATGTTGGGTCCCAGTCGGGCACTCGCAGGTCTGATGGTGAGAAACTGATGTTTAAAGTGTCTCCTGGAGGGATCGCATCGTCTTTGGCCCACCGTTGGTACTTGTCTCGATCCTTGGGTCTTGCTATTGTGAAAATCTCCTCTTTTTTTATTGGTTGTTTTCCTGCTTCCTTGCGGGTTCTCCCATCTTTTTGGCCAGCTTCGAACTTTAACCATAGGGTCCTTGCTATTTCTATTAGATCTCCTTTCAATTGCTTGTCTGCTACTTCTCTTTTGAGTATCGCGCATTCTCCGGTGTCGTGTGTTTTGCTTCTGTGGCATTCGCAGTATTTTCTTTTTTCCTTCTCCGTCCGCTGTGGGGTTTTTTCTACAGAGTGTACTTCCGACATGTGGCTCCTCGGATCTTCTTTGATGAACGGGTGGAATCTGCAAGAGGAATGTCTCGAATGTCTGCTCTGCTTGTCGTGGTTACCGTCATTGCGCTCTCTATGGTTGTGGCAGGAGAAGGAGTCGGTTGATTCTTGTTTGAGGTAGGCGTTCGCTATTTTCTTTTTTGCGCTCTTCTCCTACAATCTGTCGGAGGTAATTTTCGACCCTGTATTTTAACTCGTCTATGGATTTCGGTATTGTACCCTGCATTTTTCTGATAGGGGTCCTGGGAATAGCCCCTGGGCGAAGGCGCCTATGACTAAGAATTCTTTATGGCCTGGGATGCTTAAAGTTGCTTAGGTGAACTGGTCATAATATGCTCGGATGGACTCTCCCTCCTTTTGCTTGCATGCCATGATCGAGTTGGCATCTCCTTTGACTTTTCTCAACTACATGAAATTGTGGAGGAATAGATGCCTCAATTGTTCAAAGCTGGAGATGCTTCCTAGTCGTAACGCCTTGAACCACTTGTTGGCATTTCCTGATAGTGTGACTGGGAAGTAGGTGCAGGTGAACCTCTTGTCCATCCGGAGCGATGTTATCGTCCATTCATAAGTATCTATTCGTCAGGATCTGTTGTGCCGTTGTATTTTGGGATATTTAGGATCATGGTGGAATTTGGTATTTCGTATTGCAGGAGCTCCTGGCAGAATGTCGAACTAATGCTTGGTATCGAGTCGTACATGTGTGGATATGCAGGTGCTCCGTTGTCCATTGTGTGTTGCATCTGATAGGGGCTGGCGTACCCTTGACCATATTCGTAATGGTATCCGTGGTTGTACTCTGAAGTTTGTGGCACATACACTGCCTGTGTGGGGTATGCATGCACCAACCAATTTGACTGTGGGCTCGACTCTGTTGGTCCCATTATGTGTGGGTGCATTCCCTACACCGTTGTGCCTTGATTGTTGTTTTTTTGCGGCTGTGTTGGGGGGTACATGCCTTGGTAGTAGTAGGAGTATGGGTTGAACGCGGGTTGTTGTGCGAATAGCAGGACGTGCGACATGGAGGCCATCGGGGAAGACGAGTGACCTGCATACATTGGTTTTATAGCAAATGTGATGGTGCTCAGGCACCATGTGCTAGTCCCTGCCTGCCTCGTGGATGGTTGCTGGTGAGTTGCTGGCTGTGATTGTGTGGTCGGTGCCCTTTGGGACGTCGTGGTGGTCATCGTGGTCGGATGTGTCGTTGCAACAGGTGTCGGTCTCCATAAACTGGCGACGAGCTCCGTGGAGGCGTCGTTGGTGTTTGTGCTAGCGGTTGTCCTTCCAGTGTCGACGGACAGCTCCCGTCGAGGGACTGCATTGGTCTAACCGGGCTAGTGGTGTCACCTTCTTGCTGCTGCGGTCCTTTGTCTGTCATTTCCGGCGCCTGGTGTTGCTGAGTGGGTTTTGTAGGACTGAGTGTAAGCCAGGATGGCGCCAACTGTTGTGATATGTCAACGGCTTAACTTCGTCTATCCGAGGGTAGGAATGAAGAGCTTGTGGATCACAACAAGGAAGATGAAATCGTCAGTCGTTGTCTGGGAGGTGATCCCGGAATGAGGCTCTAACGATCAAGTCAGTGAGGGTCTGAGAGAGAAGTGGTTAAAAGCGTAAAGAGAGTGTTGAAGGGTTAGAGATCTTGGCCCCTTCTCTTAGGGGAGAAGGGTGCCTTTTAAACCTGTGGATAGGGGGAACAGATCCCCAAAAATATCTTCTACCTTTTCAGGTTTGGTAGGGGCTGATGACCTTTGATTGGAGGATCGTGTTTCATGAGTGGTTGTTCGCTATCGGTGAAGACTCTGCCAAAAGCGGCGTCTTGAGCACTACACTTTTCACTTTGAGGAACTCTTGGTACTGTTTTGTCTTCAACGTTAGCCTTAGCGCTTGGGCACCAAGGAACTGATACGGGGTCTCGAAGGAGAGGGCAAAGGCCCGACGTTAGTCATGCGTTGCTCCTTGGCCGATCCGTCTGTTGACCTAGTGATTCCGTTATCTTTGATGGATTCCCAGTGGGATACGTCAACAGTAGTGAAAATGAAGATCAACAGCCCCCACAACCAAGTGTTGAGGATGTTGGACACAACCATGTCTTGAGGGTGGATTATGTGCATAATACTCTAACAATCCAAGAAGCTAATGAATAGGGGTAAGTCATATATATCTTTTATTTTATTTATGTTATTATTTACCTTATTATATTGTACTCTTGTTCTTTTTATATGGCATGTACTGTGTGATATTAGGTTGTTATTTTGTATTGTTCATTACGATCCATGACTTCATGTGGTCAGTTTGCTCGATTTGATCAACTTTGAAAATAGAAAAAAAATGTATTTTGCTAATTTGCATCTTTACATTTCATGTTTTTTTTATCATTTATCATCTTTTGTGCTAAATTACTAACAGTAAATTACTAGAATGGTCCTTGTGGTTTGTGGCGACTTGTGTATTTGGTCCCTAACTTATTTTATTTAACTCGTACAGTCCTTATAATTTGCCTTTGTTATGTCGTTGGTCCTTATAATTTACTTTTGTTGCGTCGTTGGTCCTTATCCAACATGAAAAGACCATTTTACCCTTATTAAATTTATTTTTCATTTATTTATTATTTTAAATTTAAAAAAATAAAATAACTCACCCCACTAACCCACCTAAAACTAATCCTTTGTATCTTAATCTCTAAACCTCTCTTTTCATTAACCCCTAAATTATCGGGCACCATACATACAAAGAGTCGCCGGAATCCTCCAATGGAGGAGACCATACCTTCTTCGGCGACCTTGCCTAGTCGATGACCCTCATCTTCCTCTTTCCCTCATTGAGAACTCCACAGACCTTTGAACGGTCTACTTGCCAATGAGAGTCTCATGGATAATCGGTGTTGGTACATAGGTCCGCCGGAGCATCACAATGGGTTCTACCCACAAATGGTTTTTCTTATGTTATGCCTTTTCGGTTATTTCAGGTTTGAGAAATTGATCGATTTTGTTTTTTATTTTTAGACATCAATCGATTTTGGCATTCATATGGATTTTCGGTTTTGATTTGCGTCTATATTTCGAATTTTGGTTTTCAATTGATCTGTTTCTATAATTGTTCTTTCTGGTATTAATTTTCTTTTCCATCAATGATTTTCAGTTGTGACTGGTTTGGTGGTTGTGGTGGAAAATTTGATGAAGAGACGTTGGAGTGTGGTGTTAGTTTACCGGAGTTGAATGTGTGTTTGTTGACAACAAACCTGCAAGTTGCAGAACAATGCATGAATGCTTTTGGAACAGGTGGAGATGGGTGGGTTGAATGGTTAAAGAATAATGGAGTCCATTGGTTTGTAATTTTTTTATAAATCTTTTAGAATAATATATATAAATGTTTTATTGGTTAAGTTGTTCATCCTTTTCTCTTCTAAATTGGCTTAATTTTCATTTAGGTCTAATATAGTATGGTTTTATGAGGTTTAATTTAGATCAATTATTTTTTACAACATGATATGTTTTAACAGAAGGGTAAAATGGTCATTTCGGTCATCATGCACAGCTAATCAGGCACATAATCAAACAACATGGTTTCAGTCAGATGTAGATTTAGTTAGACTTTAGACCTAGTTAGGCCGCTGACTCAATCAGATTTGATTCAATCAGCAACTATCAAACAGCCACTTAGTCATTCACTTTTTCATTGTTTTTTTTTATTCTGTGATCAAATGTCGAAAAAGTGACCTTTAAAGTTGAATGCCATTATCGGTGATCTATATGGTAAATTGTTTTGGTTTGAATTTTCAAGTCTAAACGGAATATAAGAAAACTGAGACATTTTTACTACAAAAGGGCAAAATGGTCTTTTACTTTTTTTGGGGGGCTCTGATGCAGAAATTGGTAGAGACCCTAGTAACGATTTATATCCCCTTCTAGAGGGTATTTTGGTTGACTTAAAGGAGCCCTTTAGATGCAACTTTAACCATTTGTTTTGTACATGTTGACATCACTCCAACTGTTATATGACCAAAATAGATCCCAAAAGTCAAATTGATATATGACCAAAACTCATTTGATGTAGGAAATTCCAATGATCTTCAAACGAAAAACATGACATTTTTTTTAAAT